CCCCTGGGTCTGGGACACGAACCGCAGTTGGCGGTGTGGGAGTCCAGTGATGTAGCCGCTGTGCTGCCTGCTGGCCCTCTCCCCAGTCTCTTAACACTGGTGGGTCTCAGGGCTCGCTTCTTGGTCCTTTGTTGCCTGCAATGCCTCCTTTGGTGATCTTACTCAGTTTTATCGCTGTACTTCTACTCGTATGCTAATAACTTATAAATTCATCAAAATTTCAGCTAAGGGTAATTTATACTACGTTTAACAATAGGACTTTGTTTATCACTTTAGAATTCCAAGTTAGAAGAGTCCTTTAACCCCCCTACTCCTTGAAACAGCTTATTTGAATATTTAAAAGCAAGTAGATATTAATAAGCAATGTATATTGAAAGTGAAGTCAAGATCAATAATTCATTCCTTATTGACAACTGAAGTATAAAGGCTTTTGTGTTCAGGAAAAGTTAGAAAAACAGTCCATTATATGTATTTTTTTCCCATCATAATAATTGTACTGGGAGAAATTGGATCTTGGCTTGTATGTGTTTTTTCAAAAACAGGAGGATAGCACACTTTTCTCTCTGCCATTTTCCAATTCTAACTTGTCACACATGGGTGATTCAAATTAGTTCCTGCATCAAGTAAATTCAATTTCTCAGCCGGATATTAGAGATAGGGGGTTTGTAGCAACTGGGTAAGCGGGAGGCTTAGCTCAAGGTTTGATTGAAGGTTTGATTAAAAGCTGTGTCTGATCTCCTGGTTATACGGTCTCTCCTAAACTGAGCTGGTTATTTATGTATTTATTTATTTTTGGCTCCAGATACTAGTTTTCTAGCAGTCGGTCTGATTTTAGCCCCTGACTCTCAGTCACTGGTTTTGCTGCTGGCTGACTTGAAATCTCATACATCTCCTATCATGTCTATACAGCTGGAAGTGAAGGAAGGAGCAGGTAGTTCATTTTCTTCATTGAAGTTTTGGTTATAAGTTTTTCTTAGATGTCTTTTTATTCTTTTAAAAATTTCTCTCAGTTTCAGTGTCATTTTAAAGAAAATTTAGGCTCTATTGCTCTGTCCTGCTAGGGAGTAGAGACCAAAGCCCTGGGCCCTGGCATAAGGGAGACCTCTGCTGTGAACCCCAAAAGCTTGCCCTGCAGGGGTAGTTGCCCCTGCGCTCACAGCTGTGTCCCCCAGCATTCATGTGCATGCTGGTTCCAGGTGCCATCAGAGCTGGTGGCCAGAGGTGCCTGTGATGGATACTGCCCTCGGGGTCTTCCCTGCAAGGGACCCAGACTTCTGCTTTAGGAGAAAAAGGATTTAAAAAAATCACATCTGCTATCACAGACATTAAAAACAGCTTACTGCCTAAGGCTTATCTGAAGCTGCACAGCAGGTAAGATTACAGACACAGGCTTTCGGTGCGCTGACCCAGCTCGTCCGGGGACTGGATGTCACTGTTAGTTTCGTGTACTGGTATCTGAAAATAGTTCAGGATTTAGTTCCTAGAAAGTGATACTAGATAGAATAATTATTTTAGAGAATTATTTTATTGAACTTTATTTTATTTATTTATTTTAATTTGACCAGAAGGGGAGGGGAGGAGGGGGAGAGAGAGAGAAAGAGAGAGAGAGAGAAAGAGAAAGAGAGAAAGAGAGAAAGCGAGCTGCTGAGTTTGGGACTCGAACCATGGTCGGCCATGTGGGAGTCCAGCGCTCTTAACCAGTATGCACCTGCCGGCCCCTAGAGAGAATAAATTTCAATTGTACAAATTTATATACATAAAACCTCCAATAAAAACGTGTATTTAGTAATGTACCTATTACCAGCCTATATTCTCAAGCTAATATAATTTATTAGCAGATTAAACCATCATTTTATTAAAATAAATAATACATAAAAACAAATGAATAATGTACAAGTGAAAAATCATTTGTTCTTTAATAAATGGTTTTAAGAACAATTGCTCAATTAAACAATTGAGCTTTATATGTTCCAATGGCTGAAAAAGCTCAAATTCTACTAATGGGATTATTATAAGAAACTATTTGTGTTTTCATTTTTTTTCTTGAATATTTAATCCTCATGAATTCCTGCCTCTCTGACAGAACTTTTTGGAGGACCTGGAGGAAACAAGAGCTCAACGTTTTTGCTAATGTCAAGCCGTAGTGTTATCTCATAGACCGATTTCTTTTGACTTCATTATGCATCAATGGAGATTTTAGTGCAGTTTTGTCACTTCAGTATGAAGTGTCAGTATTCCACTTGTTTGGAAGGTTTCTGAGGAAAATTTATTCTTTCTCTTTTTTGTTTTTATATTATTAATTTAATTTATTATTGTTATTGTTATTTTAAAATTTGCTATAGGGCGCACACACTCACCAGAGAGAGACAGTGAGAGAAGGAAAGTGAGAAAGGAAGCCACCAGGCCCGAGAACTTGAACCACAGTTGACCACATGGGAGTCTAGCACATGAACTACCACACCACCTGCTGGCCTGAGATTTATTCTTTTAATAGAAGCTTCTGCTTTGTTAATTTAAGTTTTTTTCTACTTACGGAGGTTAATGGAGTAAGGGAAGAATGCTTTCCAAAAGCATGCACCTTTCTTTGATTTGAAATGAAAATTCAGACTATAAATGTGAATGTAGCTAAAGATTGAAATGATTCAGATTTTACATTTTAAACTTACTGAAATATCAAAACTGTTTCAATAAAGATATTTCGATATTTTGGCACTTGAAAATAGCCTGGTATGCTCAAATGCTAGAATCTTTGAAAAAAAGTTTGTCTTAGGGAAATTGTGTGTGTGTGTGTGTGTGTGTGTGTGTGTGTATCTCAGAGTGTAGATTTAAAAACCTTAACTGCAGGGGCTGGCAGGTGGCATGGTGATTAAGGTGCTGGACTCCTACATGGCCAACCATGGTTTTAATCCCTGACCTGGAGGCTTGCAAATCACACTGGGCACATGTGAGTGTGTGCCCAGAATCCCAAGAGGAGAATGGAAGAGAAGGGACTATGGCATGGCCATCCCCTCTGGGGAGTGATTTCTCAATTTCTCTCCCTTCCTCTCTCTCTCTCTCTCTCTCTCTCTCTCTCTCTCTCTCTGGTGAGCACACCAAAAACAAAACAAAACCTTAAAAACTACTAGTGTTGTTATTAAATAATGTTTCCATAAAGTGATACCATTTTTAGTGAGTAAAAATTAAAAATACAAAATATAGCTGAGTGGCAAATATATTGATAATATGTGCAGTTCTTTTACAACTAGTAAATTAAGGATTGGCACTATGGCTTGGTAGTTAAGGAAGCTGGATCCATGTGGCTGACAGTGATTGAAATCCTGGCCCCAACATCTTGAAAGGCTTGCTGATCAGTGTGCATGCCTGCCCCAGATAACAATAGGATGGGAAAATGGAGAAGGGATTGTGGCATGACCATGCCTCATTCAGGGGGATGCTTTCTTCCTCCTACCCTCTCTCTGTCTTTCTGTCTCTCTCTGGCAAGCAAACACACCCTCTGGCAAATTAAAAAAATAATAATTAGTGAATTAAGAATTCCAGTACCTTTCTAAATTTTGCATGTGCTTCATCCCCTACTAAGATTCCCAGTAGGTGTCTTTTTCACTGATGCTTTGTTTTGTCTAGTTCTTCAGTTTCCTTGTTTACCCTTCCGTGCTCTCATTGTTTCCTTTAACAGGGTGCCAGTCTGATCATTGAGACAAAGGCTCTGTTAGTGACTTCTGCAGATAGGTCAAAGTCACTTCTTACAGTTCTCTGAGCCTTAGTTTGTTCTTCGTCATTAAACTGAAGGTGTTCTGGGGCCAGCCGATGGCATAGCAGTTACGTTGCTAGACTTCCACATGGCTGACTGCAGTTTGAATCCAAGGCCTGGTGGCTTCAAAATCATGCTGGGTGTGTGTGCATATATGCCTAAGGTCCTGGGAGGAGAATGGAGGAGAGGGGATTGTGGAATGGCCCTCCTGCAGGGGTGTGTGTGACTTCTCACTTTCCCTCTCACTGTCTCTGTCTCTCTCCGGCCCTAAGGCAAAAACCTTAAAAAAAATAATAAAAGGTATTCTTACCTCCTTTAGTATTATTCAGGGGCGGAGATAATGTATGCGACAGTGTTTTAGAACTTTCCTTACCTTCCCAAGCATATCCATTGAGTAATTTGAAACTTGGTTACTTCCCTGATTAGTTTTTTCACAACCCTACCAACTTATTATACATGTGTGTACTTTCCCCTATCTTGATTTATAAATACTATATACTGCATTCTCATTGAACAAAGTCTCAAAAATGTAAAACATTTAAGAAAATAGAAATCAATACATCATCACCTCCCCCCTCAGATATAGGGGAAATTTGTTTTTTGAGGCGGAGCTTCCTGAGAGTAAAGATAACATCCTACCTATTAATTTTGGATTTTCTATTCTTCATATGCTAAGGCACAGAATTAATGTTTGTAAGTGAATAAGAATTTACTTAGCATAAGTATATTTCTTTTCTTTTTTTTTCTTTTTTTTTCTTTTTTTTTTTTTTTTGCCATAGGGCACATGGGCTTGCTACTCTTGGGATTTGGAAAAGTAAGACATCGCCCACCCAGGGGGTGGCCACACCCCAGTCTCTTCTCCTCCATTCTACTCTTGGGATTTTGGGTAGACACGCACATGTGCCCCACGGTATTTTTCAAGCCTTGGAGTCCCAGGCTCCAGCAGAGCAGTCCCCGTTCATTGCCTGCCAGTCATGCCACCTGCTGGCCCAGTGTAGGTCTGTTTCGTACCTGTGGGAATTTTACTGGCAAAGTGAAGAGAAAACAGAAGACCTCTAACTAGCTAAAATAATAGTGGATATATATTTTTAAATGAAACTTTCTTGTTGGCTAAAAGAACAAAGGAAACATGAGAGGGTTATTCTTGACATTTTCTGGGAGAGATTAGGGAAGCTGTTAGATATAAAGACTTTTGGGGGGAATGCTTGAACATTGTTAAATTTGCCTTTTTCTTCTTTTTATATTTTAATAGGATGGCTTAAATTCCTTGGTCCTTGATTTGGATTTTCCTGCTTTGAGGAAAAACAAGAATATAGATAACTTTTTAAATAGATGTAAGTATGTTTAAAATTCATGTTTGATCATGTAACTGTACTTTTGACACAAGGCTTATGTTTGATTATTGTTATTACAGTCCATAAACTTATTAGCTTAATTATTTTATTGTACTCTAATTTGTAATTTTTTTGGTTTGCTGCTTATTTCAAAACTGATATTCTTTATTTCCAAAGTAAAACTGTAGAACTACATCATAATATGTAAAGTAGGTAAAAATCAAAATTTTTTCTAAATTATGAAGACTATTGATTTATTTCAGGCAGGTTATTTATAGCAGCTGCAAGAGAAGTGTTAAATCAATATTGACAAGTCTAGGATGTACTATTACTCAGAGTTTTAAGCAGTAATGTGTCCGCAGATGGGGACATTTCATGTTAGTTAATAAAATAATGTGGCACCCCTTAATATTTGCCCATATTGCTGTTGCAGTGGAGAAGTAAGTGAAGTCTAAGAGTAAGAAATTCTCCAAACTATTAATCCATATGTTCTATCGTCATCGTAAGTTCTTTTAAAGCTGAAGTACTTTTCCCAATTAAACATTCTCATTTATAGTTACTGTATATAATATATTATTTACATTTTTGAAGAAGTCTATCAGATTTCATTGCTAAGATTAGACATGCAAGTGAGGACATGGCCCCTTTCTTCCCTGAATCAGACTGAACACCAGGGCTGCCTGGGTCCTCAGCTTGCATCTGACTTGCCAAGCACAGAGTTGGAACCAGAAGAGCTTTCACTGCTACGTATTGGCAGTTTGTCATGTTTGTTTATATGTATTAATAAACCAGAGAGAATTTTTGTTCTTTGTAAGGTTAATTTGTATCTTATATTTTTAAACAGAGCAGCAACCTTTAAAAATTGACAGGTTTAGCTGAAAATCAAGTCCAATTTTCTCAGATAAAATTTTGTTTATAAATATGATGCTTATATTAAAATATTGCTTGTAAATCTGATCAATATTACAAATACAGCGTTTTTTTTTAATTATAGATGAGAAAATTGTGAAAAAAATCAGAGGTCTGCAGATGAAGGCAGAAGACTATGATGTTGTAAAGGTTATCGGAAAAAAAGAGGTGCTTTTGGTGAAGTCCAGTTGGTAAGAAAGTATTTGTTTTGTTCTTATTACTTTTGTGACGTCATGGCTTTGTGAAATGTCAGTAGCATCTGAGTAGATCTGATTCCTGTGCCAGCCATGCCAAAGTTAGCTTTCTGACCCCAGTCAAACCACTGTCTCCGACAGCCTCCGTGTCCTCATCTGTAAAAGGAGGCGGTTGTGCTTATGGACAGGTCTCACTGTGATTTAGAGCAAGGCCAGCTTGGCTTCACTTGTGATCTGCCCAGTAGTTGATGTTCCACTAGAACTTTAAAAAAAATTGTTTTTTATTAAGGTTCTGGCCATAGGGTGCATGAGCTCACCAGAGAGTGAGAGCCAGTAAGCGAGAGAAAGGGAATAGAGAGGGAAGGTCAGAAATCATCTCCTGGAGGGACAGCCACGCCACAGTCCCTTCTCCACCACTCTCATGCTTGGCGCGTGTGCGTGCATGCCCAAGATCCCGAGAGGAGAATGGAGGAGAAGGGATTACAGCATGGCCATCCCCCTGGGGGGTGACTTCTCACTTTCTGTCTCTCTGTCTCTTTCTGGCGAGCACACGTGCCTTATAGCCAAAAGAAAGAGAGAGAGAGGGCCGAATCCCACATGGCCAACTGCAGTTCAAATTCTGGCCTGGGATGCTCGGAAACCATGCAGGGTGAGCATGAGTGTGTGTCTAGAATACCATTGAGAGGGGGAAGACAGGACTGTGGCATGACCATGCCTCAGTGTGGTGTGTTTTCTCTTTTTCCTTGTCTCTCCATCACTCTCTGGCAAGCATGTGCCCCTTCTGACGATTAGGAAGATGGTCCCTGTGTTCACCTTTACTGAGGTCTTTATCTTTTCAGAGGACTTCACGTTAGGTCTAGACAGTATCCTGCAGGGCTCCATTGGCTGTTCGTTGCAGGTCAGGTCTACTGGTAACAAGCTCCCTTAGCTGCTTTTATCTGGCAAGTTCTTGATTGTTTTTTTTCTTCCTTAGTTGTGTGTGTGTTTTAAGTTATTTACTTTTTTCTTCCTTCAGTGACAGAACCAGAGAGGTGTGGAGGGAGAGGGAGAGACAGACAGACAGCATCCCCAAGTGCTTAGTGCCGTGATCTGTCTCCAGCCTTCAGCTATTCTTGGTTTATGGACAAGTGTGTGCCTGGCATACTTAGGAAGGTCTTTGGACCTGAACTGGAATTTTCTCATAGAACATCACATTTTACTGCTACACTACCATCTGTCTGCACTTGCTGGAGGGACAGACAGAAAGCAAGAAATCACCCCCCCCCGGGGGGGGGGGGCCACACTTCAGTTCCATTTTCTCCATTTTCTTCTTGGGATTTTGGGCACGCGCACACAGGCACCTGTTTGAGTTTCAAGCCACCATGTCCAGGGCTTGAACCAGAGTCACTACATGGGAGTCCAGAAATGTAACTACTATGCCATCTGCTGGTCCCTCTATTAAATTTTTTTTATTGTAAAATACATCACACATACAAAAAGTACATAAAACATAAATGCATGCCTCTTAGACTCTGTTCACTTTCTTCAATCTTTTTTTCTTTCTGTTTCCCAGACTTGTTAATTTCTTTTGCCCTGTATACAAATTTGTTGATTGTTCCACTTTGAATCCCTCTTCATTTCAGTTATTATACTCTTCAGCACCTGAGTTTTGTTTTGGTTTCTTTTTAGGTTTTCTACTTCTTTATTGCTGTTTCCATTTTTCTCGTACATCATTTCTTGATGTTTTTCCACATCTTCCTTTAGTTCTTTGAACATCTTTCAGACAATTGTCTTAAAATCTGTATTAAGAATATCTTTCACTAGGTCCCTTTTAGACAGAATGTCTTTTGATTTGATTTTTTCTTTGAATGGGCTATATTTTGTTGTTGTTTTTGTATGTCATATAACTTTTCTGTTGAAAACTAGAGTCAGGGCCAGCAGCTGGTGTAGTGGTTACATCTCTGGACTCCCACTTGACTGACTGCAACTTGAGTCCTGGACCTGGTGGCTTGAAAATCATGCGAGGCATGTGTGCTCACAGTTTCAGGAGAAGAGTGGAGGAGAGGGGATTGCAGCCATCCCTACAGGGGTGATTTCTCATTTTCCAGTCTCACTCTCTCCCTGTGAGCACATGTGCCCTATGGCAAAAACATTTAAAAAAAATAAAATGAGGCCCTATGAGGCTGTC